CTGCTTCTATACCCCAAAGCAAAGCAGTGTAAGTAATGGCTGTGAAGTAAAAATCTAGGCTTGCCCAAGAAAGGTTGTGAGCCTGATGGCAAAAAAAAAAAAAAAAAAAAAAAAAAGGGTTTAAGGATCCACCTCACCCAGATCCATTATTTTAGATGGTCTCAAAGTAGCCATAATTAAATTTAAAAAGGGGACGGGATAGGCAGAACATAGAAGCCAATCTAGGAAATACCAGAGTTTCCAGGCTTAAACCTATGTCTAGATAAAACTTGGGCGGTGTAGTTACCTGTACATGGAAAAGTTGAGAGGCAAATATAACAGAAGTCTACTAAGTTTTTGAGAAATTTGTATTGTCAAAAGAAATTTAGCCTTGGCCTATAGCAAAAGCATGATGGAGTCTCACCCTGTTGCCCAGGCCGGAAGTCAGTGGCGTGTTTGCAGTTCACTGCAACCTCAAACTCCTAGGCTCAAGGGATCCTTTCGCCTCAGCCTCTCAAGTAGCTGGGACTGCAGGCATGGAACCGCTACCATACCCAGTTAATCTTTTCTTTTTTTGAGACAGGGTCTTTCTCTGTTGCCCAGGCTGGAGGGCAGTGGCACAATCACAGCTCACCGCAGCCTCAAACTCTTGATCTCGAGCAATCCTCCTGCCTCAGCCTTCCAAAGCACTGGGATTACTGGTGTGAGCCACCATGCCTAACTGCATGTGATTCCTTACTCCTCAAAATAATCTATCCAAATCTGCACAAGCAGGAAATGGGTAGCGATCATGAAGGAAAGGGACAAGAAAGAACCTTCCAGAGTCAGGGGCCACAGAATCCTGTGGACATAAGACCATGCTTCCACCAGTCTCTTTTCCTTTACCACATGCAACTCAGCTTTAACCATGCAAATAAGGACAATGTCCTAGGCGATAGTACAAACAAAGAACTGGCTTCCTGAATGACTACAAGGAACAGAGTTGCCAGCCAACTTGGATCATTTATGTTAGATTGTTCATAGAAGACAGAATTAATTCTATCTTCATTAAATTATATGGATTATGATTGAGTCTCTTATAGCAGCCTAGTTTATCTAGCAGGTTAGATAAACTAATGAAATGTTTAAAACTGATATATTTATCCTTTTCCACTAAACCTACTCCTCCAGCAGATTGCAGTAAATGGCAATTCCATCCTCCTAATCTCTTAGTCCAAAGCCCTTGGAGGCATCCCGTTCTAGTGCACAGTATCAAACCAGGTCTTGCATTGTGATTTAGGTGCTTCCCAGAATTCTAGGCTGCAGATACATGGAGTGGGCATGGGCTTTTGTCCTAAAAGTGTTAATATCCTTCAACCAAAGATCCCCAGGAACATAAATATATTTGAACAAATTGGGTTGAGTATTGCAGCTAGGAAGAACATGCACCATTGGGAGCCCATGTGTGTCTTAGTAAGAGAGAGGTCGAAAAAGGGCTATAGGATTTGGAAAAAGCCTACTAAGAAAGCTCCAGATTCGGTGCTGTCAGAAAGGGGGAAAATTTAAAGATTGGATATCTCAAAAAATATTATCAATAGAAAGGAAAGACAAGCATGAGGATAAAGCCGTAATTGGTAAATAGCTGCCACTCATTTTAGCTAAGAGAGGCATATTTGTGGATTGCACAATGATCCTGTTTGATTGATTGCAGAGTGACTTTGTTTAATGTTGATGTTTTATGAGATTGTGTATGTCCAACATAACAATCTGGCTTAGCTGTGAGCAGCAGCCCTGCTTGAGAGCTTGTGATAGCACTGAAGCCCAGCTGTGGGAGTCCAGGATTGCTTTTTTTCTTTCTCAAATGAGTGATGGTGCCTTATCACAGGCAGCCAGCCTCTCTCTGAGACTCCAGGTGAGGGAGAGGAGCTGTCTCAAATTCATTCTGCTCCTCAGAGGTGTGCATCTTCAGCCTGCACCCCTGTCTGGCCATTATGACACTTGTTCCTGTCACTACATTGACTCAGGGTGCTTCTGGGCTGTTCTAAGAACCCAGAAAATGATGCTGCTCTGGTCCATTTACCCTTATCATTACCATTTGTTTTTTTTCTTCTTTCTTTGGAAAGGGATTGTTCTGCTTGTTGGCTGGGCACAGTGTTTCATGTCTGTAATGAAACATAGTGTGTGGATCGCTTGAGGTCAGTAGTTCAGCCTGGCCAACATGGCTAAACCCTGTCTCTACTGAAAACACAAAAATTAGCCAAGCATGGTGGTGCATGCCTGTAATCCCAGCTACTTGGGAGACTGAGGCATAAGAATTGCTTGAACCTGGGAGGCAGAGGTGGCAGTGAGCCAAGATCACGCCACTGCACTCCAGCCTGGGTGACAGAGCAAGACTCTGTCTCAACAACAACAACAAAAGGGGGGGGATTCTTCTGGATTTTTCTGTTTCTGATCTATGAACATTTCCTATTTTCCATTGGGTATTAATATTTCATGCCTCACTTGCACAAAATGTTTGGAGTTGAAGGGGTAGGTTTCAGTGTGAGCTCAAGCTGCTGTCTTGACTTGGAAATAGCAGAAGGCCTTTTTGTGCCTCCCTCTGGGCTGTAGTTTCCTAACACGTGGCACTACCCAGCCATCTCTCATCATCAAAGTGGTCCTCAATTGTTATTGTTATTAATTTTCTAAGTGTTCTCAAGGCTTTGCCAGGTCATGCACTTCTGGGCATCAGCTGTTCTCTCTCTTACATGCCAACAGTTAAAATTGAGAGATTTCAGCATAACTGGTTGTCTTTCTACGTAACCTTTTGCCATATTTCAGCAAACCAGACCAAGCATTTGATCCAGGAGTAATAATCTGAACCTAATTTAGTCTTCTGATCTGGGAGAAAAGAAAGATATGGGGATCTTCAGCTGCCTAGAAAACCTCCTCTCATTAACCTTTATGCCCATAGGGGCTAAGCCATTCTTCTTGCAGGACTCATCTTGCTCTGTCCTAACACCCATGGGTAACTTTACATTTTTTTTGAATCTGCTGTTGATGGGAAAGGGTTTTTAGTGGTGAAGGATCTTGCATGTCTCTTTGCCCAAGCCTGTTAGCTTTCAAAAGAAGAAGTTAATAACATTCCCCATCAATGCCTCCTGACAAAACCAAGTACAGGTTGCTGAAGACAGGTATTGTTTGCATTTAATGAAATCTCACTTACTGTGTTCACGGTAGATAACTGTGGTGGTTGAAGGGGGTTTTTCAAGAGTGTGAAAGGATCCTGAACCCATCTTATAGGATGGATGGTATAGAGAAGCTGGGATCTAGAGGCATCTCTGTCAAGCTGGTATCAGCCCCAGCAACATCTATCTGTCAGTGTCCCCAACTGAAAAGAGAATTCTAGGGTGCAGAAATCATGGGGCAAGTCTTATATTCTTATATTATTTATAATGCTTTTATCAGATCACTAAGAGATTGGCAAATCAAAGGGTAAGCAGCACTCATGGGGACTTGGGATAACCTAACAGGGAATTACTGCAGAGGAAGGAGAATCCTGAAGCTCAGAGAAGATTCTGAGACACTAGAGGAAGATTATGGGTTCAGGGGCAAGGAAGCCCCTTCATTCGCTCGCTGTCAGCCTCACATCCTCACAGATACAAAGACAAATTACATGACTGCAAGGTTAATGATTTATTGATCATGTAGAGTCAGGTGTTATTCACGTAGAGTTCCCCTGGCTGTGTGACAAGGACAGTCAGAAATTCAGAGAAAATCTTTGATTCTTGGTGAATTTCTGAGTCTTCATAGGCAGTTAGGGAAGATCCCAAAGATGCAGGGATGATGTCTTCATGTGTGATATGATGGAAATCAGGTCACAGAACTTGTCACAAGAGGACATAGGGACCAGGAAGGGAAGATGGAGTCCAGGTGAGGAAGTATTCACTCAGCCCTAATTAAGCAGAGACGAGAGAGAACACAGGAACTTATTAAACCTGCCTTGCATTGCATGAATGATGAAGAGAAATTATATTACAGAGAAAAATGATGAAGAAATGGATCTGACCTTGTATTCTAACTCATGGTATATACCAGAATAGGAGGAGGAAGGATGTTGAGTAAATGACTTTTGCTTTTTTGCTATGGCTAGTGCCGTCTTAACCTTCCCCCAGCTGATTATATGAAAAAGAGAAAGGAAGTAATAAAGGGTCCTAGGTTTGTTTCTGCCATCTTCAGCATTAGAAGTTTTGAAGAATTTTTGATAAATTGAGGAATAATGGCAAAATCTATAGATATCTCTTATTAAATACTTGCTTTATGCAAGCTGCTAAGACTTTCACATACATTATCTGAATAAAGCCCTATGATAAATCTAAGGTAGTTGAGGAAACTAAGTCTATTTTCCAGGTTGATGGAAAATGGGAAGGTCAGACAGTTCCATTCCCAGGTTAGAAGTCAAGGACATACAGGGTACAAAGGAAGAAATGTGGATCGTAAGTTAGAGGGTGAGATGGCCTCCTAGGAGATGGTCCACAAACAGAAACGTATTTGAGTTTCATACAACTTACTACTATGTTTCCATTTCATATATGAAGTGATTTTTAGCACGTTATCAATTACTGGGCCCTTTTCACAAGCATTATATCCACACAGCAACTCTGTAAACTAGGCATCATTGTTTCCTCTTTTTTTTTTTTTTTTTTTTTTTTTTTTTTTTCTCCCTTTCATGGAGAATGGCATCTCGCTATGTTGCCCAGTCTGGTCTTGAGCTCCTGGGCTCAAGCGATCCTCCCACTGCTGCTTCCCTAAGTGCTGGGATTTCAGGTGTGAGCCACCACACCTGGCCCATTGTCTCCTTTTAAAGTCTTAGGTTATTTGCTCAAAGCTCATGGGAGAATTGGGTCCTCTATCCAGGTCTTCCAACTCCAGATTTCAAGCTTTTCCCACAAGCATCCCTACCAAATTATTTTTATGGTGTCTTTGGGTGCAAACCCCTAATGCTTTTGGAAGGCACTGGTCCCTGGGCCACCCTCTCTCCACCGTAGTCAGAGATCACCAACCTGGAGTCCTAGGCTGCTCCCCCATCTCGGGCCTGGAGACAGCGATCTGTTGAGGGAAAATAAAACAAATTCAGACACCGACACCAGTTTATTCAGAAACCAGATGATTCTCCAAGTTAGCACAAAGGGAACTGATTTGGAGGGTATTACTTCCCCTGGATTACTCCCTTCTGTAACATGGGAATTTAGGAGGAGAACGCCGGAAACCCCAACTTACCAACTTTAGTCAAGTCAAATATGTTTTCCTTAACAATCCCATGTTCTTCACAATATTTCACAAACCTCCCCTTGAGTTGTGAGCTCACATCCGGTGTTCGGGCTGTGGGAAGAGTGACAGTCACTGCCATGTCTTGGGTATTTGTCATAGAGGCAAATGAGGGGACAGGGCTCCAGACGGATGGGAAAATGAATGGCACCCATTGGGTGCCCAGGCAGAAGTGTTGGGGTGGGATATAATGTGTCCTAAAGTTGACATCAGTAGCACAATGAAAGATCATTATTTCCTATCACTGAACTTGAGGGATTACCAAAGGTAAGCATCTGTTTTCAGAGAAGGAGAGATGGCCCAGGACAAGGTGGGGAAGAGCACTTTGTATCTAAGTTCCTTGCCTTCCCTCCTTTCCCCACCCCAAGATGAGTGTCAGCATGAAAATACTCTACCATAGAGCTCCAGCAGTAGGAATGTTTCTCCATTCTTGAAATTCTTGTTATAAAAAAATATATAATTATCATAGTCCGTTTCAAGTATGTCAACGACATTGTGTCCCTTATCTGGAGGAAACAGAACACAGTTCAGAACTCCTTTGATCCATAGAAAGCAGTTGAAACCCTTTACCTGTTCTTTCCCATGACACAAGTTCAAGTGCATATCCCATTAGAGATAGTGAGGATGCTGAATGTCTTCCATTTGCATCGCCCTGGGCTTCATGAGGCAAATTCTGAGAAAAGGGTAGGTTGATCACTAGTAGTCAAAAAAATTTAGCCCCAGCAGCAACTCAGCCTTTAATATCCACCCCCCCCGCCAGACCTACCCACCCCCAGCAGCATCTCTGTCAGTGATGTGTCTCTGTCCTCTCTAGAAACCCCACTGGCATTACTTACTTGATGCTACATCCTGAGCAATGTGCTGTGGCGATGACCATCAGGCATCAGAAAGCCAGGCAGAGAATAAGAAGCTGTCCTGCCAATTTACTTTTTTTTTTTTAAGACAAGGTCTCGCTTTGTTGCCCAGGCTGGAGTGCAGTGGCGCAATCTTGGCTCACTGAAACCTCCTCCTTCAGGGTTCAAGCCGTTCTCCTGCCTCAGCCTCCCGAGTAGCTGGGATCACAGGTGTGCGCCATGATGCCCAGCTAATTTTTGTATTTTTAATAGAGACAGGGTTTTGCCATGTTGGTCAGGCTGGTCTCGAACTCCTGACCTCAGGTGATCCCCCTGCCTTGGCCTCCCAAAGTGCTGGGATTACAGGTATGAGCTACCATGCCCGGCCCCAATTTATATTTTTTGCCCTGCCAATTAACTTTTGTTGCAGGAGGTGCATATGACCAAGTCACCTTCCTGAGGCTGATTGTATTATGTAGCAGGCACTGGCTTTTACATGAAAGGTTCTCCCAAATTCAGGTTATTGGCTATTAGATGGCCCCCATTTTATTACCAAAATAGTCATTGATCAGAAATTGATCAAGATCCTGAAGATACTGGGGTTTAGTAAATTCCTTGCAGTTGGGAGTACAATTTAGAAAGACTTAAAAAAATACTTACAGTCAGCCCTACATATGGCATTCTTTTCTGTTGGTTTACAAGCCAAATTAATTTCAGTACATGTTCCATTTTCACTGTAAAACAATAAATTGATGCCCAAGAGCTATTGATGAGGCTGACTTGCTCACCTTCTACTCTACCAGTAACTTGAGTTTCTGATTCAACTTTTGAGCACTTGTTTGTACAATTATCAAAGACCTTTTATGTATATTATTTCACATGATTTGATATGTTAAGAATGACTTAAATGACAACTTCTATCACTATTGCTACTTTCCACTGTTGCTATTACTACAACTACTTGTCTAGATCATTAGCTGAGTGTTCACCACATGCCAGCCTCTCAAGTAAGTGCTTTACAAATGTGACCTGCCTTGGTCCACACACACACACACACACACACACCCCAAAACAAAAACTAAAAAAAAAAACATGAGGAAGAATTATTCTCATCCCCTTTTACCCATGGGAAAAGGTAGGTGGAAAGAGATTTGTTTTCTTGGTAACACAACTGGTAACTGAAAGATTCAAATTCAGGCTATTAGTTCCAAGTTCAGTTTGCTTAACCTATGCTATATTGTCATACTACTCATGATTCTGATATCCCTCTACCTCCCATTTCCCCCACTCCAATTAAATTTATTCTTGTTACTGATTCTTGTCTCTGAATCTGGAAAAGCCCCAGATCCATCAAGTCCTGGATCAGTGCATGTGTGTGTGTTCAAGACCATACCCAGGCTTCTATTTTTCCTTCCCCAACTAAAAAAGGCTGTACTTACATTTCACGCAATTTAAAAGTCAGAGAAGAGTCCCCCAGGTAATCAATGTGTTCGACAAAAACTCTCATGCTTCCATCTTCTTCTATCTTTTCCCTGCAGTCAGAGGCCAAGAGAACCGAATACCACTCTCCTGAAATCTGCAATAAATAAGATCACTGGGTAAGAAAAGAGGAGTGGGGATACCACATGGACACTTCTTTCCTTGAACTCTGGCCTGTGGGCCAGGGCTCATAATGAAGTGAAGATAGAATTAGAACTCAGATCAGTTGGCACCACACCTAGGGCTCTTTCCACTTCCCCTTTAGGGAGGATGGAGATCCCCAAGCATTGTCATCTTTTCACATGGTACAACTGCTCTTAACCCAAGGTCAGAAACCAACCCTTTTGTCTGATATGTTAAGGAACTCCTGGCCTACAATAGGATCCACATGGCTTCAGAATCCCTGAAATCATTCCCCAGAGCCAGAAGTCACTGTGCTCCATGACTGTACCTTTGACAGGTCGAAGTTGCTTGTCACAGCGTTATTTTCTTCCTCCTGGGCACAGACGAGGGTCAGCCCCAGATACAGCAACAACAGCGTCATCTTGGTAGGGGATAGCACTGCTTCCTCCACAGTTGCCGGGGGTGGGTCTTTCTCTAGCAGTGGCTCCACTCCCCAGCTCATCTGTCTTTATATCCAGTCTGTGTTCAGTTTTTTGTCCATGGGGCACTACCTTTCCCTTCCTCCTCCATGAAGTGATCTTTCCTTCACTGGTGTGTGGCCAAGGATTGTTCTTACCCTTTTGAAACTTGGCAATTCCCTCTCTTTTAGATCTAGCTAGTGACCTCAAATTTCCCAGAACACATTATCAAGAAAAATAGCAGATGCTCTAAGGGGCTGTCATTTGGAATTAGATTTAACTGTGGATCTGGCTTAAAATTAGAAAGCCAATTATGTGTGGCAGGAATGGGCATAACTGAGAAAGAGGATGTGCCAGAATCTCTGTTCTACCTCTTATACAAGGTGTGAAATTAGGTGAGTTACTCAATTTTTACAAGCCCCAGAAACAAACTGTTCTACCAAAGATGAAAGCACCTATCACAAAGCACTAAAATAGGGTTGAACAAAAAAGTCTTTGAAGTATGGTGTCTGGCATTCAGTACATTCAAATTCCTTTTCCTTATTCTCTGAACCCAACCCCTGCAGCCTTCCCTCTCCCCACAATGAGTGACCAATATTTAGTCACTATGTGTATGTCTTTACCATAAGAGACATACACATGGGCTCATAAGAGAAAAGGGGAAGTACAAGATATTATTCCTTCCTTCAAAGAACCTTCAGTGAAGTTGGAAAAATGTTTCACATCCTTGGTAAAAATTTAAACCTACAAGCACATGAAATGACCCAATTGAGTAACCTAATAAAGTTACTATTATAAACTATAATAAACGTTTATAATAGTAATGGAGGTGCCCAAACACTGTCATCTTTTCACATGGTACAATTGAAAAGGGGCCAGGGTGGGGGTATCATGTCAAAAGAGCCTACGAACACAGGTTTTGGAGTCATGAAGACCTGGGCTTCATTCCTATCTCTGCCATTTTGAAGCCATGAAGATGGATTGTGACTTCTGAGTCTTCTGTTAGTTTCCTTTTTTTTTTTTTTTTTTTTTAAGATGGAATCTCACTCTATCACCAGGCTGGGGTGCAATGGGCGTGATCTCAGCTCACTGCAACCTCTGCCTCCTGGGTTCAAGTGATTCTCCTCCTCAGCCTCCTGAGTAGCTGGGACTACAGGCAAGCGCCACCACGCCCGGCTAATTTTGTATTTTTAGGAAAGATAGGGTTTCACCATGTTGGCCAGGATGGTCTCCATCTCTCGACCTCATGATCCACCTGCCTTGGCCTCCCAAAGTGCTGGGATTACAGCCATGAGCCACCATGCTCAGCCTGTTAGTTTCCTCTTAACAGGGCTGATGACACCTGTTTAATACATTGCTAGGGATTCAATGGGGTGATGTGCGTAAAACCTCCAGCATCATGTCTAGCACACGTTGAGCTGGTGGGTCAGAGAATGCTTCCAGGATAAGGTAGGACTTGTAGTAGGTGTTGAAAGTCAGGGAGGGTATGGAGATATGGTGTCCGTGTGGGAATAGCATTGCGGGAGGGAGGAATATCATGAGATAAGATCTTATGCCACCAGCCAGGGTTGTTATATAGCTCATTTCTGCCTTGTGCTAATGGTCTTCTTCTGTATCCCCAAAACCAAAAAGAGTTTGGCATCATGGGAGGAGCTGAGCACAGGGCAATGAACCTAGGAATGGTGACATTCTGTCTGTAGCCTGCTTAAAAAGTCATCCCAGACCCTTGTGTGAGTTTTCCTGGTTCCTGCTCAACCGATGTTCAGTCACTGGTGTTTTGAGGCCTGTGTAACTTCACCATCATAGGTGGCTGTGGGCTCTCCTGGCCCTGAGATGGAAGAACTGAGCTTGATAAGTGGTGACAAAGGCTGTGTACTTGATTTCCTCCATTTGACTCTCTCCAAGAACTCATGGCAGCCTGTGAGCCACCAGGTTTGCAAAACGAACCCCCTTCTTCCTGGGTCATGATGCTGAGGGAAGAGTCAGCTACCACCGCAGTATCCAACCCCTCCCACTGCCACTCCTAACTCTGCACTCTTACAGCATCGTATTGTGACTCTGCTTCTGTTTTTATTACCTATGAGAAGGTAAATTCCCTTCTGAAAGTTGAGACATCTTCCTTGTTGTACCTACCATGGTACTGAATACATAGTATCACCTTTGGAATGTTTATATACTAAATCCTATCATAAAAGCACTAAGGATTCTTGATATTAGAGGCAACCTTCTAGAAAATCATTTCATAAATAGGAATATTATGTTTGGGTGATGACATCCTAATTTACATTATTGGACCACAGGAATAGAGGGAGAATCTAGGACTGAAGACTGTTATCAGAGCCTATGTTTGGGTGATCTTACTAAAATCTGAGTTGAATATTTCACTCTCTGGCTGCTCGCTTCCATTTCAAACCTACCACATTTTTGATGGTTGGTTTAAGCATTGCCAGGACAGCCTGTGATCACTGAGATAGCAAGGTCAAGGCTGCAAAAATTCCCAAGAGGTATGATGCAGTCTAGCTAGGCAATTAGTGAAAGAAAACCTAGATAAACCAAAGCTGAACTAATATTAAAATGTGAGATCAGTCAGGAGGGATGCTTTGGTTTATGATAGAATTCCATTAAATAATACTGTAGCACTGCATTTAAATATTTGTGGTAGGAACTATAGATTAATAACCTGACACACTTTCACAAATTATAGATGATCAGTAAATATTGCATCAAATGAACTGTAGACTTCTTTAGTGGAGAGGATTGGAAGAAGTAGAGAGATAGAGAAGGATGACAAAAAAGAAAAAGAATAACCACTGATGTTAGCATCTCCCAGACAGTATAGAAGGTATAAATACATGAAGCAAAGATTTAATTTATAAAAGTTCACTTGACCACCCATCTACAGGGAATACATCTATTGTATAATGCAAGATACACAGGGTATAGGATTCAGAATAATTTGTCTGTAGTACAGCAATTTGCTTTAGGAAATGACGCTATTAAATAATTTTTTTAAAAAATAGTGACTTAATTCGACTAACATTATCAAGTGCCTCTTCTATGCTAGGCCTATACTAGGCACTTTGAGGGCTAAAGAGATAAACCAGATGGGGGCTGTGCCCTCAAGAAACTCCTGGCCAGTGTGGGGATGATTTAAAAACAAATAAACTACCAGGTCTAAAGTGAAAAAAATTAGGAAAACAGAGGTGCCAATAGTAATGAACAAGAGGAATAACAAGAGAAAGACTGACCACCTAATTCTAGGTATGAAGCCAGAAAATTTTTTTCCTACAGATAAGCAGGACTTTGTCTAAGACACACAAATTCATAAGAGTGGAACATAGCAAGCTTTTAATTTATTTATTTATTTATTTATTTATTTATTTTGAGAGGTGTCTCACTCTGTCACTCTGTCACCGAGGCTGGAGTGCAGTGGCGCCATCTCAGCTCACTGCAACTTCCGCCTCCTGGGTTCAAGCAATCCTCCCACCTTAGCCCTGAAAGTAGCTGGGACCACAGGCATGTGCCACCATACCTGGCTAATTTTTTTTTTTTGGTATTTCTAGGAGAGATGGAGTTTCACCATGTTGCCAGACTGGTCTTGAACTCCTGAGCTCAAGTGATCTGCCTGCCTCGGCCTCCCAAAGTGCTGGGATTACAGGCATGAGCCACCGCGCCTAGTCAGCAAGCTTTAATGGACCTCTCCTGATACAGTGGAGAGAGAAACAGTGGAGGTTCTCTGGGGAGTAAAGGTTCTGTGCTTTCCAGCAGGGAGAAAGGAGTAAGTTGAGTTGTCCTACAAGCCTGGGAGCCCCAAGGAAGCAGCTCCTTCCTTTCTGCCAGGGGAGGAACGATGCTTCTGATGAATGAGTCTCGGTCTGTACAACAGTACTAGATGGACCGAGTGTACATCAGTTATCTGTCACCATCCTAGAGAGGTGGCCTTTGGATCTTCTCTTTTATGAGACCAACTGATTATGATCCTAACTCTTGTCAGGATTAATTCCAGGACTGAATTCCACAATGTATACATATGTCACAACATGCTGTATACCACAAATATACACAAATTTTTACTTGTCAATTAAGAATTTTTCAAAAAGATTACAAAAAACGTCATTCCAAGGCTGAGCTGCTCAGGCCCCAAAAATCCATCAATCTTTTAAGAACATGGCATTGACAGCTGAATCCAAACTGCTGTATTAACAGTCAAGTTGCATCAGCTAGTTTTATATTTGTGGCCTTTAGATTTCGACAGACTTAGAAACAATCTGGTAATAAAAGAAAGAAGGTTTTGTTCAAAGTTGTATTTGCTTAAGGAGCTCTAAGCACAGAGTTGTGCCAGAGTGTACTTACCATGACTAATGGTTATGACTGGGATGTATTTTTGCACCAGTACAAGTTTCATCAGTCCTGGGGCCACATAAACAAAAATAATATTTTGATGCTGGAAATAAAAGAACTCAGTAAGTTTTGATGAGTGTTTTACAAACATTATCTTCTTTAATCCTCATAATAGCTCAACATGGTATGTACCCATATCCTGTTTTACAGTGGTATGAACTAAGAATTAGAAAGGGGAAGTAATCTTACCGAGGTCACATAGCCAATACATGAGAGAACCCATGCGTGAACCCAAGACTGATTTCAAAGCCCCTACTCTTTTTGATTCCACTACACAGGTCAGGGCTTAATGTTTCTAACATGAAGGGCAGATGGTTGAATAGAAGGAACAGGAATAAATAACCCTGTAGACCCTAAGAGGAATCTGCCTGGTAGTCACTACTGTAGAAACTGCATGCAGATTTCTTAAAAACGTGGTACTGTGGCTCATGCCTGTAATCCCAGCACTTTGGGAGGCAGAGGCTGGTGGATCACAAGGTCAGGAGTTCAGGTCCAGCCTGGACAACATGACAAAGCCCCATCTCTACTAAAAATACAAAAATTAGCTGGGCATGGTGGCAGGTGCTGTAATCCCAGCTACTCGGGAGGCTGAGGCAGGAGAATCGCTTGAACCCAGGAGGCAGAGGTTGCAGTGAGCTGAGATCATGCCATTGCACTCCGGCCTGCGTGACAAGAGCAAGACTCCATCACAAAACAAGCAAACAAAAAATGTGGCACTGAGGGTAGCTACAAGAGTTTGATAAAGTGAAGACAGAGTAATAACTCTTTCCTGGTCAACAAATATTTGATGAATGAATAGGGAGTATTGCTCTCCTAATAATGAATTAGAAGTCTTCATAGCAAAAAACAAGAACTATTCCCTTCCAATTATGGTGCCAAGTACATGGTCATCAATCACATTATGACTCTCCTACCCACCTTCAATCTGTCAAATAGAGTCATGGAGCACAGTGACTTCTGACTACGCTTCTGCTCAATATAGGGCATTTTATATAGAACCTAAGGGAAAAGTCAGCCAGGTAGTTGAAAAATGACAGGCCCAAGTAATGACTCAGTGTGTGGGTAAGGGGTTTATGGAGCCCATATATGACCAAATGACAGACCATTTATAACCAAGTAACTGGACTGAAACTAGCTGACTGGAAATGGACATAATGACGTTCTCAGTCACACTTTTGATTAATTGAACAATTCATTCATTGAGAAAGTCAATGGGAATATTTAAGTCCTGTTATATAACACCAAGGCATATTCAGTTCAAAGAAGAATAGCAAGAAGCACACGCTTATTTGATTCATGTGCCAGAGTGGAAGTATTCCTTGGTCCCCTAGCATCCAGGATGATTATCCATTCTGCTGGTACTGGCTCAAAATGTGCTTTAAAATATCTACTCCTTTTACCAATAGAAGATCGCTTGGAGCCACTAACACTCCATCTGTGTCAGCTGGATGCTAGCCCCACATAACAGATGCTGATACAGACTTAGGAATGCAAAGGGTTTACTGGGGAATAACACTTGTGAAAGGAAAAAAGAGAAAGCAGAGTTAGAGAAGGGGAATTGCCAGTCAATGATGTAAGTCTGACAAAGCCTCTGTTAG